GAACATGAACCGGCACACATATGAGATATTGGCACTTGCAGACAGAGGATTAGCCAGTTGAGCCATTGTGTTGGCCCTAGAGAAACAAACTTGTAAATGATGATGGAGTCACACTTTTACCTAAAAAATTGTAAATATAAAAAAGTTTGATGATACGTTTGAATAAGCGAGGTGGTAGAAAACAGCTGTTTGTCAGCTGCTATGAAAGAGTGACCTAGGACAAAATCTCAAGAGGGCAATTTAGCAGTATCCATCAAAGTCAAAACAGATGCACATATCAGCCAAAACTAAAGAACTGTCTAGAAAACAGGTGAGTTTTCCTTTGTGTCAACTACAGTGCATTTTTTCAAAGTGTAATCTCCTTAACACAAATATATATTTATTTTGGAGAGAATGATGTAAACATATTGATATGCAATTAATTCTAAGACATATTAAGTGAAAAAAAAAAAGAAAAACAAGCTTTGGAGTGCAAGTTTCTTCTCTTTTTGTGAAACTGTGCTTCCTCCAACTGATAGGTGATTTTAAGTCTTACATCATGTACAATTCTAACATTCTTTGCTAATGCCTTTTTAAAAAAATGTATAAGGCTGCTAACTAACTTTATAAAGAAAAATGAAAGATGCTTAAGTTTTAAAACATCAGTCAATTCTACATCCTTCTCTTCAATCTGACACTGATTCACTCATTTCACTTATTTCTCTTTCATGTATAATTTTTATGTATGAGTATTTTAACACACAAATGTAATTGCTTTTATACATTCTATTATATCATTAAATAATTACCCATTTCTAACATCTTGGCCACTTGTTTGTCTCCTATTTCTGTACACATTTTTGAATATATATATTTTTAAGATTTTATTCATTTTTTATTGGAAAGGAGGCTATACAGAGAGAAGAGACAGAGAGGAAGATCTTCCATCTGATGGTTCACTGCCCAAGTGAATGCAATGGCTGGAGCTGAGCCAATCCGAAGCCAGGAGTCAGGATCTCTTCCAAATCTCCCACACAAGTGCAGGGTCCCAAGGCTTTGGGCCATCCTCAACTGCTTTCCCAGGTCACAAGCAGGGAGCTGGATGGGAAGCAGAGCCGCTGGGATACGAACTGATACGAATATTAGATCCTCGTGCATGCAAGGCAAGGGCTTTAACCACTATGCTATCGCGCTGGGCCTGAATATACTTCTATGAGTGATATTTGTTAAACAGAAACCGAAGGTTATTTTTGCTGTTGTATAGAACAGATTAGTTTTTAAAGATGTGTTTATTTGGAAGCAAAATCATAGGGAGTGAGGGCAAGAGAGATAGACATTGAGATGAAGAAACAGAGAGATCTCCCATTGACTGTTTCTCTCCTCAAATGACTGCAATAGCTGGGTTGAGCCAAGCGAGGAGGCAAGCACTCGATCTATTCTCCCAAGTAGATGACGGGAACACAGGTGCTCGAGCCATCATCCGCTGCATCTCAGGCAGAATAGTAAAGAGAGGAAACACAGCTACTGAGCCTTGAACTGGCACTGTTATCAAATGCAGGGGTCTAAAGAGGAGGCTTAACCTGTTGCCCACAGCAGCTACCCCTTAATCAGATTGCTTTTTAAAAGTGTTCTGCTGGGCCTTGTGGCACAGTATGCTAATCCTCTGAACTGTGGCACAGGCGTTCCATACAGGTGCTGGTTAGTGTCCTGACTGCTCTGCTTCCAATCCAGCTCTCTGCCTGTGACCTGGGAAAGCAGTGGAGGATGGCCCAAATCTTTGAGTTCCTGTACCTATGTGGGAAACCCAGAATAACTCCTAGCTCCTAGCTTTGGATTGACTCAGCTTTGGTTCTTAGGGCTTTCTGGGGAGTGAACCAATAATTTGAAGACTTTCTTCTGCCTTTCTTTCTGTCTGTCTAAAATATGCCTTGCAAATAAAGAGAAAAAAATTTTAAGTCTTTGATTTCTTCTTTGATTTCTTCTTTGATTTCTTTCTTTGATTTATGCCATGATGGTTGGATCTCTTAAATTATAAATTTTGATTAGGGAATGCTCATTTATGAATTCAAGAACTGCAAACAGTGATATGGCAATCCAAGAACTAAGGTGAAATGCAGCAACACATTTTCTGGAAATCTCTAGTTATGAAGATTCAGAGGTAGGGTGCTGAGGGGCCTTTGGCTATGTCTACGTGGTCCAGTGATAGAAAGTTACAGTAAAATGACTCAAGACTTTGGTATGAATTTTGTTCTTGGATTTCCTAGTCTCCACAGAGTAACTAATACGTTTCTTTTGTTTATAAATTACTCAATATATGACATTTTGTGATAGCAACCCAAATAGACAGAGGCAGTTATCAAATAATTCATGAGTAACCACAAAAGCCAGGGCAATGATTTTTAGATGATAAGAAAGGTTTACAAACAGGGATTGCTTTTGAGAAGGACTTTCAATGGAGGGTAGAAGACTTTGAAGGGAGGATAGAGGTTTCATAGGGAAAGTATAGTGGCAGGAAAATCTGATACCGAAAATGCAAAAAATTTTAACAGAAAAGGTAATTTAAAAAGTGTCTGAGGTTATATGTCTTTGTGTTGATGTTACTGTTTGTATTACCTTCATTTTATCTACATTAGAAACATGTAGCAGGAAAAGGCAGTTGGGCATAGTGGCTAGGATGCCAGCAGCACCACACTATAGGGTCTGGATTTTAGTTCCTGGCCTATCCTTGATTCTAGCTTCCTGCTAATTTGTAGCCTTGGGAGCAACAGGTGGTAGCTCAAGTAGTTTGGTTCCTGCTACCACATGGGAGAGCTAGATCCAATTCCAGGCTCCTGTTTTTGGTGTGTCTATTGAAAGCATTTGGAAAGTGAACCAATGGGTGGGAAATCTGTTTTTTTTTTTTTTTCCCTCTCCTCTGTTTCTCTCCCAAACCCTCCTCCATTTCTCTGTCTTAAAACAATCTATAGTATGTTAATCCCTGAGTTGCATAACTGAGAAGGTTTTAAGTTGGCCTGTGCAAAGGTTCTGAAAGTTTAGCATGCATTACAATCACCTGGGAGACTCACCAAACTACAGACAGGTGGGTTCAAGTTCAGTGTCTGGGATTTCCTACATCTGAGACAGGGGCACTGGGGGAATGAGAAACATCTTTGTCTGCAGTCAGTATGTTCAGCATTGAGGCATCTATGACAAAAGACAGATTATCAAGAGATGTGTTTCATATGTTTAATGCAACGCTGGAGTCTTGGCAGTTAGGACTCTAAGAGGGAGACCTCTGTGTGTTCATAATGAAGAGTGGTCCTGAGGAAGGTTGTTTGGACAAAGTGGGCGTGATCTACAGATAATGTACAGGGGGATGTAACAAGACTTGTTCAAATTCTTCTCTGTGTCTCCGTGTCTTCACAGACAAAGGTGTTCCTTTCCTCCAGGTATGGGGAGGGCATCTCTCATATGAGGGTCTTATGAGCTGCTTTTGAGTGAAGAAGTGAGGTTAACTTTTTGCAGGTGTTGCTACTTTTTCAAATGCTCAAGTTCCATTTTTTAAAAAAGATTATTTATATTTGAAAGTCAAGTTGCAGAGAGAGAGAAAGAGAGAGAGAGAGAGGAGAGAGGGAATTTTCCATTTCCTGGGGCTGTTTCATTCCCCAAATGGCTCTAGCAGCTGGAGCTGGGTTGGGCTGAAGCTAAGAGTTTCCTTTAATTCTTTTATTAGGGTGACTTCACCCTAAGGACATGGGCAATATGCTGCAGCTTTCCTAGGTGCAGCTGGACCAGAAGTGGAGGAGCCAGGACTGAAACTGGCACCCATCTGAAATGATATTTCAGAAGTTTAGCTTGCTTCACCATAACCATACTCCAATACCATATTTTGGAGCAGAACATGCTGAAGGCCATTAGAAGTGAACATTTACATTTTTGTAAAGGTCAGTGGTAGTGCTGATGTTGGTGGTTCTGGGGTCACATATGAAGGATTTCTGCTGTTGTGTAACTTACATCAAACCACTGCTCAGCCTTCTGTTTTTTGGGTTTTCTTTTCTCCTGAAGATGCTTACAGAGCTTAAAGAATCTTTAAAAATGGTGTTTCCACTTTGAGGGCAATAAAGATGAAAGGGGCATATCTTATTCATCTTTGCACAGTCTTTTGCATAGCACAAAGGTGGTTTGCAAATAGTAGGGGTCAAAACCAACCGTGGGGTGCAGTGCGATAGCCTAGTGGTTAAATCCTTGCTTGTGCTGGGACGGGCACTGGTTCGCAACCCAGTTGCTCCACTCCCCATTCAGTTCCCTGCTTGAGGCCTGGCAAAGCAGTAGGGGATGGTCCAAAGCCTTGGGATGCTGAACCCACGTGACAGACCCAGAAGAAACTCTTGGCTTCAGCTCAGCTCAGCTTGGGCTGTTGTGGTCAATTGGGAGAGTGAACCAGTGGACAGATATTTCTGTATCTGCTTCTCTGTAAGTCTGCCTTTCCAATAGAATAAATAAATCTTAAAATGTGTTAAATACTAATTGGAATGTCAAATAATTGTATAATAAATAAGAATAAACTTTTTAACAAATCCTTAGTAAAAGGGAATGCATCTCATGCTTGGGTTAGAAATACGTACAAGCAAAGAAAAATCTAGTTAATTACTGTATGGATGTGTTTCTCATAGAATGCCTGATTACATGAGTAAACCTTGGGCACAATAAATCTTTTCGTATTTGAGGGCATACAGAAACCCCTCAACAGCCAAAAAGGGACGTTGTGACAGGTCTGGGTAGGAGACAGGGAACAAGACCCAGACCCTAAAAAACACCTTATGCTTAAAGTTGCTGCAATCTTTTAATAGACTTCAGCTGCAATCATCCCATGGTCAACGCCAGATTCTGGGCAGGGACACCTGTGGCTCTCAGGCCACGCCCCCGAATACCTTCCTACCTGCGGGGATCCTGCAGCCCCTTCCCGCCAAGCCCGCGTCTCCGCCCTCCGGCTTGCAGGAGTGCGCATGTGCGGCGTCCCGGCGCTCAGAGCCTCCCTGCCCGGGACGGCGAGCCATGGCGGCCGCGGAAGAGAGCCTGTTGCGCCAGTTCCCCCTACTTCTGCCCCAGAACCGCGAGAAAACCGTGTATGAGGGATTCGTTTCTGCTCAGGTACCAGCCCGATCGTCCCACTGGCGCGTTGCCCCCCCGCCCTGGGCAGTGTGGGATTCGCGGGTTTGGGGGAGTGAGAGGGGCGCCTCGGAGCGACTAACGGGATCGCGGAGCTCCGCGCGGGCCGCCGCCGTCGCGGGAGTCCCGGGCCTCCTCGGCGCCCGGGCCGCGGTCAGCGCGCGGCGCCCAGCCACTGCACTGGCCCCGGAGTTTCAGTACATTTAGCCAAGTTATGGTTGCACATTTGCTGCCTTAGAGTTAATCAATGTATGTGGGTACTTTATATACACATTATTTTCCCGAATCACCGGAGATGAAATCCTGCATAACACTTGCTAATCGTTCAGTATACAAATGTATATTTTATAGAAACGAGAGCATACTCAGTCCACAACCACAGTGCAGTTCACACAACCTTACAGTGACGAGAACATTCATTATGTAGTCTAGAATCTGTGTTTTAATTTTTATTAATCCTTGAGTCGTCTCTTTCATCCCCCCTCCCATCTGATGTAGGATCCCACGTCATGTTTTAATTGTCAAGCTTTTGAACTCAGAGTAGTTCTCAGTGTGTCTTTGCTTTTCGTGAACTTGACGTCCCTCAGTTTGTATCTGATATTTTCTCAACTTAAATTCAAGTTACATGTTTTAGCAGGGATTTTATGGGAAAAACTTAGTGGTGGTCTCAGGCCGTGTGAGCTCAGCTGGTCCCGTTGCTGATGTTAACTATTTTTTTAAACATGTGTTTTTATTAGGCGGTTTTACAGAGAGGAGAGACAATGTTGATGTCAATTTTGATCAGCTGGTTAAGGTTGTGTTGGCCAGCGTGTCCTTCTGTAGTTAATGGCTTTCTGGGAGATAGTCTGATGCCCCTAACTTTCATATGTGTGCACTTGCCTTAACATCTGCTAACACTGCCTGGGCTTGCTGGTGATACTCCGACTCCATTATTACACATTTATGAGCTGTCATTTTGTTGATGAGGAGTTGCCTTTCCTTCATTTCAATTTATATTAGATCAGACTCGTGAATGCAAAATGTGAAGTTAATCGGTTAGACATCACTTTATTCTCTAAATGTCCCAGATTTGGCCAGTGAGAGCACATTTGTATGTCTTTAAGTTGCACTTCACTCTTGTCACTGTTCTGAGAGTATCCTATATAGAAGGCACACCTGTTGGTGCCCCTATTTGGCCTAGCCTGTTTGGGATTCCCACAGCCCATGTTGGAGTGCCCTCAGTGTGTGAGTACCAGATCTACTTCTGATCCCAGCTTTCTGTTGATGTGCTCCCTGGAGGCACCAGGTAATGGCTCATGTGGTTTGCTGTCACCTTGTCAGAGAACCAGAATGAGTTCCAGTCCAGAGTGGCGGGGGCTAGAGGATGGGCAGTCTCTGCCTTTCTAAAAAGGGCAGGGCCTGTGGTTGCTGACAATTGTTACCTGTTTGGATGTTACTGGTTTTCAGTTTGTGGTTGCTCTGCACCCATGATCTGCTCAGAAGGTTTTGAATATATTTGGTGGGTGATCTGTTGTGACTGTTTTATCCTTCCTAGCTATATTGCATTGTAGCTAGGCAGTCTTATTTGTCAAAGCTATGTAAGTGTGAGCTAGTATAGAATTAATTTTGTAATTAATAGTCTGTTTTTAGGTTATCTTGTTCTTTAGTGAGCTTTGATGGTGTTGTTCAAGTAATTTGCTCACTTGATCTAGGTTTTTACGTTTATTGGCTTAAAATAATATCCCCTAGTTATCCTTTTGGTGTTAGGATTTGTAATAAAGCTGTCTAGGTTGGTTATATTTTGCTACATAACTAATTACTTCAAATGTTAGTGCTTTAACATGACATGTTATCTTAGTTTCTGGGAACCAGGAATTCAGGAGCAACTTGGCAGGTGATTCTTGATGAGGATCCTTCTGAACCTGCAGCCAGGTGTCTGCCAGGACTAGCAGACAGACCTTGAGCAGAGCGGGAAGGTTTGCATTCAGGGACTCACTTGCCCAGCTGTTGGCTGGCGCCCTTGGTTCCTCGCCACCTGGACCTCCATGGTGTTGCTTGGTTGTCAGCACAGCATGATAGTGAGCTTCCCCTGAGTGTGAACCCAAAGAGATGGAGCAGAAAGCTGAACATTGCACTTTATCCCTGAACTTCCAAAATCACACACAGTTTTATTTCTCCTTTTTTTTCTGTTTGTTGATAGCAAGCCCGTATTGAAAATGAGGTAGATAAAGTTCTGATTCCTAAAAGCAGAGGTGTCAAGTAGTTCCTCTTATTGCGATGTGTAGGCGATTTACATTTGATGGGATTGTTGATGCTTGGCTTTAAATCTGTCTTGCTATTTGTTTATAATCTTGTTTTTTAAACTTTTTTCCCAATTTTCTACACTTTTTATTTTCTATTGTTCCAGCTTATTATCTGTTTTTCTTAATGTCTCTCTCTTTTTTTTTTTTTTTTGCTATAACAGAATACCTTGAACTTGATATCTTACGTAGAAGTTGAGTTAGCTGGGATGTCAGAGTGCATGCTGCTGAGGCCCTGTTGTCGTATGCCAACAGAACGGAGGGCATCTAGTGGCCAGACAGATCAACTGTGCTAAGTTAGGATTCTCCTCCCCTGACACCAGGAGGAGCCTGGAATTCTCTCTGGGTCTTTCCCACCTTCGTGGCAGGGGACCAGGTACTTGGGCCATCTTTTGCTGCCTTCCCAGCCATATTAGCAGGAAGCTTGATTGGAAATAGTGCAGCTGGGGCTTGAACCAGCGCTCATGTGGGCTGCCAGCGTTGCAGGTGGCATCTTGATGCCCAGTGCCACAGTGCTTTCCCCTCCCCTGTTAACAGCTTAACGTTAGTTTGATACTTTTATTATCTGGGGCCATCCTTTAATAAGGTTTCCTGTCATTTTCCTAATTGAGGAATTCATTGAAAAGGGCACATTAAATTGTCATGTGTCTGTAATAGCTACTCAGACTTTCCATTTTTTGATTCCTTATTATGAAATCTTATTAAGAAATGCTATTTAGGCATATTTTAGGACACTACCCTATTGGAATTTTTTTTTTTCATGATTCAAGTAGGCTTATGGGTTTCGGGGAGGACTGTCACCAAGTTCACTTTCATTATAGCAAGTGTACAATTTAACAAAATCGCTCCTGAGCATTGATCACCTGGCTGAAGTTGTGTTTGTCAGGCTTTTCCACTTCCCTTACCCACAATGAGCAGCCATCACTTTTGCTGGCTGATACAGTCCCTTTCCGTTAGGGAGGAGTGTCCATATGATAGATTTTTACTGCATGGGAGATTTTATTTCTTTGACCTCCGTTTACTAGCTTAGTCATTAATTTCTATCAGTATCATGCCATGGATATTTTATACTTCGTGTCTTTAGAAAATATTACTGTATTGGTTTGATTGCTTTGGCCTAGTCATTTATACCTTAAGAATATTGAAAAAGAAGAGGTATTTCACATTTACCTGTAAATTCACTGTGTCTGATACTGTTGTATATTTGTGTTTCTTCCTAAAGACCTTACTTGAACATTTCTAATACTGAATGTGTACTACTTACACACTTTCCAGATTTACATTTGTAATACATATAATTTCGGTGGTTACAGATTCTAGGTTACAGATTCTGTTTTAGTACTTAAAAGATACTGTTCATCCATCCTCTGTTGGATCTGAGCATTCTCTTATTTTGGTTGCTTTATAAGTAGTATATTTTCCTTTGTTTGCTCTTAAGATTTTTCTTGTTATTAGTTTCAATCAATTTGATTTTGTCATACCTTGGTATAGTTCTCTTGTTTAGCTTTCCTAGGACTGTGGATCTTGGATTTTGACTATGTATTTCCATTTATTTTGGAGAAAACATCAGCTGGTTATTTAACTTGTTTTTTCTGTTCTTTTCCTGTATGTCGGGGACTACAAATATTTACATAATAGGCCACTTTAAAATCCTGCAACTTATTGCTAGTCTTTTCAGGTTTTGTCCCTCCAGTCTCTTTCTCTGTTTCATTTTGGAGCTCTTCTGTGCCTGAGTATTCAGGCATGCCAGTGCCATGCAAAGTTTAATCTGTTAAAACTGCCATACGCATTTTTCGTCTTAGACATTGTATTTTTCAGTTCTTTGAGCCTATGTATTTCCCTTCTGTTCAGTGTGATTATATTTTCCTTTGCAGTGTTAAATGTTTGAAATATAATTAAGTTAATTTTTTAAATCATCTGTGCCATTTTTGTATGCTTCTTTTTTCCCCTCATTAGGTTCTTTTCTGTTTCTTTCCATAACACGTATATCTTTATTAGATAATAAATGCAAATTGTACTTATTAGACATTGTTCTTTTCTAAATATTTGAGTTTTGTTGTGAGCGGTTCAGTCCGGGCCTCCCACACAGGTAGAAAGACCCCAGATGTGTCATCAGTGCCTGTCGGAGGGTTGAGGGCAGAGTCTTGTCCTTCTGCCATAGGATACAGTCACTCCAGCCAGTGTCCTAACCTCCGCTTCTCCCTCTTGTCTAATTGTGGAGTGACTGAGGAGGGCACACCCTTTGTCTGCTGCTCCACCGTTTCTAGAAGTGGAAGTTTTTAATATTTCCATTTTCTTTTTTTGCTCCCCTCCCTTACTTTGAGACATCTGCCTGTCATAAGTCAGTGGCCCAGATAATTTATTTGCTTATTTTTTCCTAGAGGCTCTAAATTGTTTCTTCATTGGAAGAATCCATTGAACTATATCCTGGAATGGATCATCATCAGCCAGTTTTTTCACATGTCTTGTTTTACCTTTCCCAGTGTGGATTTCCAGAAAGTTCACTTGGGTTGTATTGGTAAAGAATCTGTTCTCATTTTCAGCGTCTCCAGTTGCCTGTATCTTGTACTTTCTTTCCCTGATTCCAACTTAATCTGCTTTTTCTCTGATGGTTTTTCAGTTTTCTTTCTGGTTTTTCTTTTAGCTACTTCTTTTTTCTTTGCCCATTAGGAAATTTTTGTTTTAATTCTGTTCTCCCTTAATCCTCCTGTAATTTATTATAGGTTTGTCTTTTTTTTTTTTTAATTTGCTTTCGTGAGTATCCAGTTGATGCACTAATTTCTTGTTTTTTTAAAAAAAATCAGATCTGTTTTTGATTTTATGTACAAATGCTCAATTATTGATGTTTAATTTGGTGTTTGAATTTATGTCCTGGTGGTTTTGTGTGTGTGGGATCTGTCATCACCTGAAGTGGTGATTGTTTCTTAGGAGTTTTGCATCGATAGGGACAGGATCTTTGTGAACATTTTAGCTGTTTATAAAATCCTGGTCCAAGAATACCTTCTTCTGTTGGTGAAGCAAAGTGTGCTTTCTTTAACATGGCAAGTTTTGGAAAGTGCTGACTGTACTGTTTTTATTTTTTCATGTCAAGAGCCTAATTTTTCTCATCTTTTTTTTCTCCTAATACCAACTTCAAAATGTAGCTCTACCTGGTTTTTTTTTTTACCATCTTCTAAAATACTTCCTTTCTGAAGTATTTTAAAATTCTAAAATACTTCCTTTCTGCTTGACCTCTGTGTTCAATCTCCCGTAGTTGTGATATGATAGAAATTTTTCATTTGTAGCTAGTCCATTCCCCATGCTCCCCTCACACACGTGTGTCTCCATTGTACCTTCTGTGCGGTTGTGTTTTCCTAAAGACCAGAGCATTCTTGCAGGACTTACTGTGACTGCTCTGAGTGGATTCTACTGGAAAGTGGCTGTGTTTTCTTCAGGTAGCTTGAAGTTTATTATGTTCTGTCTTTGACAGAAAACATGGGATTTTGGTGGTTTTACTTATTCTTAACATTTATATAGTTTTATGGAAGGATATTTGAGAAGATTCAGGTGTAGGCCACTGTCAGTTCCCTGCAGTTCCAGGACATTGCTTGGATAATAATTACTATTCAGATGCTTTAAATATACAAATTCTGGACTTTTTCTGAAACCAGAAACTACTATGGCATATAACATGACATTTGACCTTTTAAAATGACTAAATTTTGCAAATAAGGGACTTTGCAGGTTATCTGAAAGTATATAATTCCATTTTTGCAGAATAGTTTCAATCTTCATGTAAATTGTGAATTCCAGCTTGTTCTTACACCTATGTGTGGGATGTCTATAAAGTTAGGCTAAAGTTACTACATAATACCTTTTAGTGCTTTAATGAAATAGTGAATTATTGTTACTTGACCTTTTGAAAGGTCAGTAGTACATTTTGTTTCATTTTTTTTAAAGGACATTTAAATGTAATGAAAGTCAGAACTGTAATATTACCATGAAAGTAAAGGTTATGGGGTACATTTAATTGTGTTCCTCTGTTTTTGAAACTGCTTTGAGGGAGGCTCAGCCAAAATTCCACATGGTAATTGTTTCTCAAGAATTTTATTACTCTTTTTCATTTTATATTGTTGGAGTAAAAGATTACATTTCTGTTTGCTTTTTTCTACTTATTTTTGCTCAGATTTCATGTGTATTTTTCTATTTAAGTTAATGTTGAAACTGCTTGCCCACTCACTTTCCAAAGAAAGTAATACTGAATGTATTTTTCAAGAGAATGACTGTTCTCTTAGAACGACTGTTAAATAAACGTAATATTTAGCAATATAGCTAACGACTATTTAGATTAAAACTTATTATATTACTCATTTTATTACGAATTCATGAATACAAAAAAAAAGAACAGTTGAGTGGAAAATATGTGTATGAGAACACTTGGTGGAATATACAAGACAAAAGGAGTTCCAAACAAAAGCATAGAAACAGTTGATGGGTTTGTTGATGAGCTCAATACCTCTACCCTAATCCTATATGACCCTCAGTGTATAAAGTCTGTTGCCCCTAGTTTCGGCTATTGATCATCAAAAAAATTCATGAATGAGAAATAGTGCCAGTTTATAATAGTATATTTTCATTAAGATTTAGTAAGTTGGAAACATGAATTATTTATTGCTTGCTTTAGTTTTACGTTTTGATTTTTATCTCCTTTATGTCCAAAGTAATTCTAAAGAACTATCTTTCTGGGTGCTTATCCTAAAAATGATCATCTAAATTTCTTCTTTATGTTCTCTATTAATGAATTTACAGTGTTCAGTACGTAGAGGTGAGATTTTTTTTTCCCTGAAAAGCCTTTAAAGCCTATATTTGTTTGATTTCCCAGTGGTTATGTGTGACCTACACTTTTTTGAGTTATTCTTTCTCTCAGATGTCACTGTTTGAATTTATCAACTTACAAAACTTGAGCGCATTTGATGCCTTTTAGATAACAAAGAAAAATACTGCCTTTCCTGTGTGATTCTATATTTAACTTGGCATTAGAATGAAAATTTGAAGAAGTTTTTCTATATTTTTCATAGGGAAGAGACTTCCACCTTAGAATATTGCTGCCTGAGGATTTGCAGATGAAGAATGCAAGGTGACATGGTGCTTTGTTGTATGTATGTATGCTGTTGAGCAGGGCTGGCAGTCAATTTGATGTAAAATGATTCTTGTCACTAGAGTTTTGCCTCAATGTCTCATTAAACCACTCAACCAGAGATATTTGTTTTTTTCATTAATGTGAAAATGTGGTATTTGAGGGTGGCCAGAATGACAGTGGAGTGGGACACTGCCAAGTAGTCACCCGCAGTGAGCAGTACTGGCAGGTAGGCAAGGGGACTGAGACCTGGTGATTTGGAGGGGAGACACTGGAAGATCTTATATGGGTCAGACTCATGTACCAGTCCACATGGGAATCCAGAGTTGAGCTTGTTAACATGGAACATTCCTGACAACCATACGAAAGCTAGGGCTGTGGGCCTGTCTAGCAGGACTAGATCCTAGCCCCTGATTGAATGTCAGAACAGGAGACAGGTCACATTAGGCAGAGCCATGACACTAATCACGCAAGAGAATCACATCTGGGGGTAGAGTCTGTGGGGGATTTGTGGGCCAAACCCTGTGGAAATGCAAGGCCTGTTGGTTAGCTCAAGAGTTTGACTGGTGATGGGCTGAGCTAGTTGTGACCATGGAAGCTGCCATACTCACAAGTACAGGGACCAAGAACAGTCTTGGCAGGTCCAGGCTACAGCACCCACATGTGCATCCTAAAACAGGGTGTGAGGTAGGGCAGGCCTGGCCACAACATCTGTCAGCTCATACTAGGCCAAGACTGAGGAGCAGGCTATGCTGGCCAAGGACCTAGCACTTACTGGCATGCGTGAGATTTGAGTCTGGAAGTGGACCAGTGGGGGAACTCGGGAAACTCCCTGAGTGGGTCATAACTCCTGCTGGTGAGCATGTAGTCCAGGCCTGGAAGTCGGGTAGGCTGGACAAGGTAGCTCCAACTGTTGGCTAATGTGTGGACTGTCTTTGGATGGGGTTGGGCGGGGCAGTGCCAAGCAAACCTTAGCTCACCAGCAAGTACAAACCAGGCTGGAGCCCATGTCATGCTGGGCTAGGTTGTCAACCCTACCAGTTTGCATGAGCCAGGGATGGGAGCAGACTGGACAGGGCCAGGTTATAGCATGCTCCAGTGAGAGTAGGGACTGGGGCATGTTGGGTTAGGCCAGTTTACTGCATCCAAAGGCAAAGGCCAAGACAGGGGAGGGGCTAGGCCAAGCTGGGTCAAAGCAACCAGTGATACTTGCAAGATCTATGGTTGTGAACAGGCCCGGCTGGGCAGCCAAAGGAACACCCTGGCTAGATTGTGGTTCTCACTGGCGAGTGTGAAGGCCAGAGTTGGGACTGCTGTCCAGTCTGGGCATGGCTGCAGTGTCCCTTGGCACAAGTGTGGACTGGATGTGGGGTGTGCCAGACTTGGCTAGATTTCAGCATTCATTAGTGCTTGTGAGAACCAGGGTAGGTGTAGGACAGGCTAGGCTAGGTCTCTGTCTCTGCAGAACCATATGTGAGCTGTATCTGGTTATGGACCAAGCTTGGCTAGGCTATAATACCCAACAGTAAAAGCTGGAATGGGTTTAAGGCCAATCAGGAAAGACCACTGTTGCAGTTAAGATAGGAGGTGGACTAAGTAGGGCTGGCTCATGTACCCAGAGATGGGCATGAGATCTGACACTGGAGTGGTTCTGATGGAAGAGCTTGGGTAGCTACTCTGTTGGGACACAGTCCCTGTAGGTGAGCGCAAGAACCATGATAAGGAGCATTCTGGATTAGGCCCAGTAACTGTACCCAATGGCATGCATGTGGTGTAGTTCAGGGACAAACCAGGCTGGGCTAGTACATATCTGCTGGCGAATTTCAGCACCAGAATGGGTCGGGGCAGCTTGTGTTACAACACAAGCCAGTTCACATGAAGGCCAGGACTGATGTCTGGTTGGATTAAACTTGGCTGTAGCACTCACCAGCATGAATTGGAATTGGGCATGGGCTGGGCCTAGCCAGGGTACTACAGCACCCATTAGCAAATGCCAAGGAAAGGTGGACATGAGAACCAGGACTGAAGCAGACATGACTAGAGTGAGTTGCACCTGCAGCACATGTGTGGGCTGGATAGTGGGGCTGGTTGGGTTGAACTAGATTACAATAGCCATTGACATGTATGAGAGCCGAATGGCATATGAGACAGACTGGACCAGTCTGCTATACATACTGGCAAGCACAAGAACCAAGGCGGGGGCAGGCCTGGTGGGGATTATTGCAGGTCACTTGACTAGGTGGTGGCTCCCATTGGTTTACGTGAAGGCCAAGTGTTGGTGCACAGGATCAGGCTGGGCTGCGGCAAGCATTGGTTTGTGTAGAAGACAGGGCTGGGAGACAGAACTGTCCCAGCAGTTGCAAACACCAGCATGTGCATAAGCTGATTGGGGCTACAGACGGTGCTGGTCCCTGTATTGGCAAGCACGCATAAGATTCAGTTTTGGGATCACCTCGGATGAAGTTTCTCTGGGGATCACTCAAACTGAATTGCTGGACTCAGAACCCAACCATGGAGAGAATTGCAGTCTCCAAGTTCTGATCTTGGAGTGCATGTGTCAGAGCTGGGCCTCCTCAGTGACTTAGATGGAGCAGTGGACAGCATATCCAGATGCACATGGTGGATATGGCTGTACATTGGAGTCTGCAGAGGACACCTGGCACCACAACAGAGGATAGAGGACAGAACAAATTGGTCAACAACCCCAGCCAAATGTTGGCATTGAATAACTGAGCAAATGGAAACTCCAGGGTGTACTATGGGAACCAGTGGATTCTGAAGATATTATATAGTGTTTGGAGTGGGGAGATCTGCAGTAATTTGGAATTGTTGAACCCTCGAGTCCTCATAGGCAGGACCCTCAGAGCATGTTCCACATTTGGGACCCTAGAGTTGTTTCAGGAGGCTGCCCTCCAGCCAGGGGTGCAGAGGCATTTGGGAGGCTGGATGTGGATTCTCTGCTTGTCTCTCCTTCCCCCAGATACAGTTAAGAAAAAAGCAGATGTGGAAATGGTAGTCTCACCCACTTTCCTTTGGCCTTTGACCAACATCACCCTGATCAACTATGTAAAAATCATCAAAAATAGAAATAATAATTGAAACAAAGTTAAACTAGGCCTGGCCCGGTAGTCTAGCCTTTAAAGTCCTTGCCTTGTATGCCCCAGGTTCCCTTGTGGGTGCTGGTTCTAATTCCGGAAGTCCCGCTTCCCATCCAGTTCCCTGCTTGTGACTGGGAAAGCAGTCAAGGACGCCCCTAAGCCTTGGGACTTTGCACTAGTGTGTGAGATTTGGAAGAGGCGTCAGGCTCCTGGATTTGTATCAACTCAGCTCCAGCCATTGCTGCTGCTTGGAGAGTGAATCGGTGGACGGAAGGTTTTCCCTCTCTGTCTCTCCTCCTCTCTGTTTATCTGACTGTCCAATAAAAATAAATAAATCGTTTAAATAAGGGTAAGCTGCCTGTTATTTACTAATTCTATTTTTTTATATTTAAAGGAAAAATTAGTAACAATAGGATGAAGCCCAAGACTTTAAAAAGTCAATTTAGTAAACAATTTTATTAACCTTTCAGACTGAGGTTTTATGCATTCTTTAGAATGTCTGTGTTAACAGTTTTTTTCCTTTTTGCCCTGAATAATAACATATTTGGTTCATTATAATTTTAGATTACTATGTAGTTGGCAGCTGAAAACTGTACTTAATGGATACCATCAAGTGGTCCAACAGGTAAGTCCTTTAAAAGTTCTGTTTTAAGTGAGGATAAGAAATTTACTCAACCTTGAGTTGTGGAAGGTAGGATGTCATTGTAGCATTATGATCCTAATTCTAGGTTTCTGAAATGGATGTTTAGTTATTTCTGCCCCATCTTTGACTGGTTTGTACACCAAATTTAAGAAATCTGTTGAGATAGATAGCCTGAGAACATTTGCTAATAAATACTATGTATGGCAGTAAGATCTCTGTTTTCCTTTACCAATTCATCAACAAGCCTCCTAAAAGTTTTTAAGTCCAATTACTAGTCTCCCTCTGGCTTCTGGTTGGTTAGGTAGAGCCAGTGTTAGTTTCACTTTGTTTTATTAAGTCAGTATTTCTGCTTCCTCCTTCACTATTTTAAATCTTGATAAATACATTAAGAAAGTTCAACATGCCTCTTTTTGTAAAGGGCCAGGTAACCAGCTTTCTGAATTTCTGGGCCATAAGTCTGTTGCAGCTGTTTGATGCTGTTCCTTGTAACCACTCCATTGCTGTTCCTTTAGCACCAAAGCAATTCTAGGCAGATGTTGAATGAAGGGATGTGGCTGCATTCTGATAAAACTTTATTTACAGAAGTAGATACTGAGTTGCAGTGGGTGGTAGGTTGCAGACCTTTCATACATTGTCTCATCTGTAGACGAAAGAAAAATATCTTAAATAGTCCAAACTGTCTGCAAACATACATGTACTCAGAGCTGTATGATGTGAATGTGAACGATATGTTTTCGTGTATTACCGGGATGAGGGAGAGTTCTACTTCAAAAAATTAGTAGAAAACTTGATGATTTTCTCTTTGTTTTATTTGTAGCTTAAGAATCAGATTTCTAGAATATGGGATCATAAATCTTAAATGTCCAATGTTTCAAATTTGCTTTATTCAGTTGTGTTATGATAGGCTTTATTTTATTGAATGGTTCTTTTCTTTCAAATTAATGAGAGTTGTGAAAGGACAAAAATAACAACTGTCGGTTAGCTTTAAGGCCAAGGAAGAAATTTAAAAAATAGAGTTAATACTAGATTTATGCTTTTCTTGCATATGTTGCTCCTGCACCAGTCATTTTTTTTTTAATTAATTATGTTTTCCAGAACTGTTAAGCTTGACAATATACAGTGCTGAAGGAACTGTGAGGCTTTTGTGACATTCTTACAGTTCTCTGTATTTTACCAAAACTCAATTTGAGGGTTTTATTCTTATGAAAGGAAATTTGCAGGAATAGTTAGAATAATGATGCTTCATGTGCTGTGCTTTTATGATGTAGATTTTGCTATATTGTTTTTCACATTCTATAGGCCTGTGTTTTATTTCATTGAAGTGAGTCAAATATTCATCGAACCAATGGTATTAATTGGAAATATTTGTTTGATCTAGAGAATGCAGCACTCTCCTGACCTACTGAGCTTTATGATGGAATTGAAGATGATTTTGGTAAGATTTTTTTTTTCTAATGCTCTTTCAATATACTCTGTCATAATTGTTTCTGTAACCTTTAATCTTTTCAAAAATTTATCTGGAGCTACTCCTATGTGGTACTCCATGCAGGAGTCAAATACTTGAGTCATCAGCACTGTCTTTCGGGGTCTGCATTAGCAAAAAGCTGGAATTGGGAACCTGAGCCATGTATTGTAACCAGGGTCTTTGATCTGGGACGCTGAGAGTGTCTCAACGCATGTCTTAACCACTAGGTCAATGCCTGTTCTGTAACCTCTACAAACAGCTAACATTTCTTAGAAGTTAAAACTTGTGAACTCACAAACATGTAATGTTTTGTTGAGTGCATATGGATGCCTTTATGACGAACAGAATTGTATGTATAAGCCAGTGTGACTGTATTTTAAGCTGGGTACCTTTGACACTACACTTGAGGAGATGGTGAAAAAATGAAAATGACACTACCGGCATGTCAATTCAACAGAGATTGGATGTTTATATTTGAAGAAACAATAGAATGTATTTGTAATCCTGTATATAGTCTCAGCTTTTGGAAAAACTTGTACATTTCATATAATGGTAACAAATTATAGTTGTTTTTGTATTAGTTTTGGGTACAACACCTGAGTATTTATCCTATTATTCTTAAACATTTATCATATTTCCAACATAAAATAAAATTATGGACATGACCTAATAGAAACAGTTTCCTCATATCTTCCCTTTCCTGCAGTTTTTAGAAGATACTAGAATATTTTTATTACTTCTTTTACATTTTATTTTGTTTATTTGGAAGTGTTGGAGGGAGAAAGAGGTCTTCCATCTGCTTCTCTCCCTAATGGCTACAATGACTGGGGCTGGGACGAAGCCGGAAGCTTGAACTGAATCAGCTTGCTCTTGCATCAGCACTTATATAGGATTTTGTTAAGCTACAGTGGCCAAGACTAGAATATAAATGTAATGCTAGATAGTATATCTATTCTTCCCTAAATACTTGTGTGTTAGTGTGTACCTCTTAACAGTTAAATGCTTTTTTTGTTTTTGTTTGTCTTTCATAATATGTGAAGTTGGGGCTGGCACATTGTGGTACTGTTGGTTAAGCTGTGGATGGCCATGCTGACATCCCATATTGCAGTGCTGCTGTGAGTTTTGGATACTCTGCATCTGGTCAACTACCTGCTAATGTGTTGGGGCAAGCAGCAAAAGATGACCCAAGTACGTTTGTCCAAGAGACCTCGACGGAACTCTTGGCTCCTGGTTCTAGCCGGGCCAGCCCTGGCTGTGGTCACCATTTAGAGAATGAACTAGTGAATGGAACAAAAGTCTGTTTCTCCTCTCCCTCTCCTCTCTCCCTCTGTGTCACTCTGCCTTTCAAATAAGGATATAAGTGAATGTTTGAAAAAAATTCTGTTGATAATTCTTAATGATTTCTTGAACAGAGATTCAAACAGTTTGATAAAACACTGTTATTATATCAAAGCTGATACATACCACATTACTTTTTTTTGTTTTCTAAATCTAAAAGCAATTCCCAATGAAGTAGGCAATAACTTCTTAGACGTGCTTTTGTTTTTCTGTGTCTGTGACACAGAAGATCCATCTATTAAATTCATATGTTTCAAGTTTATGTAAGACTTAAAACTGCAGCTCTCCTCACTCTGCATTATGCTGGATTTGATTAGGTTTTGATGCTGCTGGGGTTGGTGTTGGATTGGCTCAGATACCCCTTGGGAGGTTGGCTTTCCATCCCAGAGAGTCTGTGTCTGAAGTCCCCGCTCTGCTTCCGATCCAGCTTTCTGCTGCTGTGAAACGTCTCTTTGTGCAACAAGCCGTTGTTTCCTCCTGCTGTGTATCATTTCCTCCTCTGTGGCGAGTGTGGTCCTTCTTTGCCTTTGCCCGCTTGGCTCTTATGCTTGTGGGGATAGGAATACATTATCTGACAAAAGGGAGAAGGCAGAGTTATATATTGATGACATTTGCACGTTTAAGTATGTGTATATACGTACATGTACACATACATATAATACATATATACACACACACCTATATGGAATAAATGTCAAGAAATTAGAAAGGGATGCTCATGTGGCCTCAGGCTTTAGTTCCGCTTGCCAAATTGGAGTGCCTGGGGTTGGTGCGGTGTGCTGGTAACACAGGCTCTGAGAAGCAACCTGACATCTTGGCTGCTGGCTGCAGCCTGCCCCAGTCCCAGCTACTGTGGTCATTTGGGAGAGTCAACTCTGTTTTTGAATCTTAAAATTGCTTTATTCCTGAGTTCGAGAGGAACAGAAAGATTCCCTTCAGCAATTAACGCTCTACTTGTAACAGCTCAAGCTGGGCCTGCCTGGCTTGTAAAGGAGGGAGTTGGGAATTCAGTCTATAGGAACATCTAAGCAATTCATAGAAACACTTACTTTTACTTTTCAAATAAGGTATTTACCCAATCTGGTAGCCTTGAAGTTATTGGTAATTTCTAGCTTCAAATTCTAATGGTTTTGGTGTTGCTTCAAAAAAAATGTGAATTTTATTTTGATATGGGAACCATTTTAAAGACATTACAGGTGGTCTTAGCAAGGACAGGGCTGCTAACATAGCTAGATGTTTGGCAAAATACTGGGAATTGCCTAGTCTGGCCTTGCAGAATGTAAGATGGCAAAAGAAATGAGCAGAGAGAGATTCATTGTGCCAATAAGCAGCTTTGTGTGCTGGGAGGTGCTTAATCGTGGCGTACAGGTAGTCTGAGCAGTGTAGTCAGGCTTCAGGCTTTTCTTCAGAAGCACTTTCTAAAAAAATTACGTGGGTATATCGAACATATCCACAGGAGTTCAGAGTGAAGGCTGGAAGATAAGATTTTTGTCTAGTTTTTTTCCCACTCTGTGATAGGCTTAACAGTCCTGAAGATTATTAAGATATTGCAATCTTTGTGTGATACAAAATTGATATTTTGTGTGACTTTAAGCACAGTCCTTTTATTTCATGAGCAGGTGTATAAGCTAGATTTTCTATGAAACAGTGCAAACTTTGGTGTGAAGATGTTGTGTTTTGTGTTCAGGTACTGATGATTGTGTAACATTCTACAGCTAATTCAGTTTTTTTTTTTCCCTTTTTTAAACAGGAAGTTGCTTTAAAGAATTCGCAAGAGACACGGGTGCTATCTGCTCCTCCCCAGTTCTATTCAAACCTTATTGAAGAGCTAGGAACACTTGGTTGGGATAAGTATGTCTGTTTAATCTCAGTTGAGTGTATTTCCAGTTTGAGTAATTGATTTTATACCAGTTTTTAATTAGTGTTGTAATTTCAACATCTAATCCTTATTATTACTATGAACTAGAGAAGACATAATTAACCTACAAAATAAAATGCTACATACAATTTGTAAAACTTGATATGGATATTTTCACTGATCATGTAACATTCCAAATGTTACTAAATTATTCAGTGTTTGAAAAGTGATGCCTTGAAATGTGAAAGAGAAGGGGGAAAGTTGCAGTATTTTTGGTGTATACAGTTATTTTTGGTTAATATACAAGTTGGCCCATCTAAATTTAGTACATAGCACTTTAAATGCTTTTGAGAAGGGAATTTTATCAAGCAAAGTTTGGAGGACTGACTTCATTTGAACACAAATACTGAATAAAGAAGTTCACTCATTGGTTATGAAGGTTGTTAACATTTTTATCCATATGGCATCTGGAGAAAATTTGTGATAACTTGGTTGGTAGGTGCTAAATTTAGCTACCTTCTTAATGCAGATACTTTAAAGCAGATTTCATTATTAGTTATAATCTTTTTATTTTGAGTTTTAAGCAGCAGTAGAAAAGGCCAGTTTATTTCCTGTAACTTACTAACCACTGTAAGTTGCATTGCACTATTCATTTATTATTTGAGTTTAGGTTTTTCTGCTAGATAAAACATTTTTTAGTTACCATGGGGGAAGGATTCAGAATATGATAAGGGTAAGTTTTTGTGAGTGTGTTTGACATTTCCTTTAGCTGTTTTATGATTTGCCCTTTGATAGACAACCCAAGAACCAGAAAAGCTTAGGAAATTAGAAAAACAGCCTCTTAAAAGAAAACAAGGAACGTTTCTTAAACTCATATGTTCTTTAATATATTTGATGCTGTTACCTGATAGGTGAAGAAAAACTGGAGACAAAGTCGTGCTGTAATCCCAGTTTATGCCCATGTGGATTTGTGTCTGGATGTGGCACAAATGCAATGTGTTTGTTAGAGAAAAAAAGCTGAATTCTTTTCTTTTGCCCATATCCCCTCTTCTTGTTCATTCCTAACAGGCCATTAGTCTAGAACTGTTCTCTGTATTCATGGATCATTTTTTCCTTTTGGCCATCAAATCTTCGTGAGTGGGTTATACGTTTATGGGAACATTTCTGTGAAGAGATGGCTTAGCTGGTCTTTCTGGCACGTCCTTTGCTTTGAATTCATGAGTTTTGTTGTTTTTTTCTCAATAAATTTTACTTCTTAACCTTACTGTTTTCCTGGATAGTAAATTGATGTGTGCAGATCAGTACTAAGAAGCCCCAAGTATTTATATCCTTGGTTTTTGCCAAATATTACAACTTCTGTTGTCAGCTGTTAAAATACTGAACTCATGATTATGAGTAATAGTATTTAACTGTAGATGGGCTGTGTCAAGTCTGTACAATCCAGTTGCTTTTTTTTGATGTTTTCTTAATTGGATTTTAAAGCTGAACTACGTTATTTTGACCTGTTGTATAAATTCCTTGAGGATGCAACTGGCTTGCATTAAGGAATGTAATATGAAACAGCCCTGTGAAATACAATAGGGATTTCATGTTGGGAAGTCTTCCACTTTTATGATAAGGCTCTGCCAGTTTAAGGAACTGTGAAAGAAGTTTGCTCCTGTTTGAGGTGTGGAAAAGGCATGCTTCTGCATATCCAATCTTGTATTTAATGAATAGGAAGCCTGTAATTGATCATGCTCTTTGCTTTGGGTCTCTGGAAGCTTAGGATTAAAATTGATAGACTTTTTACAGACATGCTGGGTATAGGGTTTATGATTCTGCATGCCGATCTTGGTCTGGCTTTTATTCTGCTATTCTGTTCTGTTTTTTTTTTTTTTCTGTTTGTTGTAAATTGCCTTAGAACTTTTCTAGAATGAGTGCTATTAAAAAAAGACTAAAAAGCACAAGTTGTCAGTTTCTCAATCTCTTAGCCTCATTTTTTTTTTCTTTTGACATCCTCGTTAAAATTGTGTTTACAAAGATTGCCATGTATGTCAAATTCCATAAAAACATTTTACAGTAACACATTGACTTCATTACCACAACCAACTCCTTTATTCCCTCCCCTTCAGAAAGCAACCAAACAATGCTACCCAAGTTTGTTCTTCTGGAATTTTATTTTGGCATTTAAAAGAATGTATTTCCACAGCAACTTTTTGTGAAGTAACTTTTTTTTTGGTAAGAAAAATATAATTGAAAGGCAGAATTAGAAAGTGACACACAGATCTTCTGTCCACTGATTCACTCCCTAATTGGCTGCCATGACTGTGGCTGGGCCAGGTCGAGGTGGGGACAGGGCCCAGGGACAAGGGAAATCTTTGGATGCTTTCCCCAGCATATTCTGGATCGAAGTTGAGCAACTGGGACTTGGGCTGGCAGCCATATGGGATACTGACACTGCAGATCGTAGCTTAACTTGCTGCACCACAATGCCAGCATTGAGATAAAGTTGTAAATTAAATTATAGTCGGGCCTGGTGGCGTGGCCTAGTGGCTAAAGTCCTCGCCTTGAAACCGCCAGGATCCCATATGGTCGCTGGTTCTAATCCCAGCAGCTCCACTTCATCTCTATCTCTCCTCCTCTCTATGTATCTGACTTTGTAATAACAATAAATCTTTAAAAAAAAAAAAAAATTAAATTATAGTCAGAGGCTTAATGCCCACTAAAAAGGATTCAACAGATTAAAGCTAAAAAGACCATCATTCACCATACTGTTACATTCCTTTTTTTTTTCCTTTTTCCCCTACCTCAAATTCACTTCCACATAGAAAGATAAATACTATGTATTTTTTATATGTCCAGCTTGTTTCATTCAATGTGATATCCTCCTGTTGCAACCATTTTTATGCAAGGACTAGAATTTCATTATTTTTCATGGGTAAATAATAATCCATTGCACTTGTATAAACTGTATATTTTTCCACTCATCTAATGATGGACATCCTGGTGGGTTCCATGCTTTACCTGTTGCGAACCGTGTTGCTATGAACGTGGTGATGTGGGTATCTGTAATCAAATGCGTGTTTTGGGGACATACACCCCGGAGAGGTTATCTAGAGCCCTTTGGTAACACTCTTGCTTTGTATCCAGGCAGGTCTTCGATTATGTGTGTTAGAATACATCTTCACTCTTTTGTATTTTTTTGTCTAGTCAGTTATCAAACCCCACATGAAATTGTTAGAATGAAAAATTTCATTTTTCAAGGGAGTTTGATTTTGGAAAGCCCTAACTATTGCATTTAAGTCAACCTGTAGATTTATTAGTCACTGTTTGTGATGAACCAGTTATCCTCTCTTGGTCCACAATTGAGAGTAGGGTATTCATTCACTATTTAGCAAACACATTCAAACTTTTTTATGCTGCAGATTTGAAAATGTAAACATTTTAACAAATTTCTTAAGTGGAAATCCTAATCTGTAAGAATTTGGTACCTGAAATTTAGCTGTTAGAATCTTTTAAAAAATAGTTTGAACAGACATGATTTGCATTTTATGAAAGAAGAATAAAACAACTCCTCCTGCTCATCCCTTTTCTTGAGCTCTTGGTTGATCAGACAGATGTGTGAAATGTGGCACATTTTATGTTGAACTGCCTTTTCCTGTTTATGTACTCTAAAAACCACAGTCCCATTGTCATCGCAATCAGCTAGTAATTTATGCTTCTGTAGACTTCTGTACCATCTATTGGAACCTTAGTTTTATCCCTTTAGTTTTTCACTTGATTTATTGTAGAGGTATGGAGAGGGCAGGGCAGGGAGAGAGAGAGGAGGAGACAGGGAGTTAACAGGCCGAGCTGAACTAGGCTGAAGGGACCTGGGATTCACTTCAGGTTTCCCACATGGGTGACAAGAATCAACTATTTGAGCTGTCGTCATTAGCAGAAGCCTGGAAATACAGCCTGGGTGTCTAGTGTTGTACCAGGGCGTCTTAAAGCAGTGTCTTAAGTGCTGTGCCAAAGTGCCACACCTGATTATTGTGTAAAGCCATTAAGAACTTTATGTTCAGTATTCTTCCATAGTTTGGCTTATGTTCAAATGCATCTTCTTTTACCTAAACATAATTCAAAAGTGAGTTATACTAATAGCTAGATTATTACAAATTAATGTGACCTGTGACTCCTACTTCATTCTGAACTCACCTTTCCCGTTTCCTTCCAAAGACAGGCTGTTTTCTGGAGATATTTTAATGTGTTAAGAGAAGCCTGTTACTACATGTGATGAAAATTTTAATTTTGCTTATGGACAGGCAGATGATGTCTTCTGGTGATTTTTTAAAAAAACGGTTGCATTATAACATACACACAAAAAATGCACAAATTATAACAGGTAAAATGTCAACACATTTGTGAAGCAAGCATCCACATCAAGGGATGAAATTACCAGAACCTTCGAAGTTTTTTTATACCTCTCTGGTTTTCCTTGCCCAGACAGTTATACTATCTGATGCTGCAGAAATGTTACACTAGTTTTTGGATTTTTTTTTAGTGGAATCATATATCATGCAATTTGAATTTGGCTTTTTTTTTCCTTTGGTCAGCTTCTGTGTGAGATCTATTTATGATCTTGTAAATTCTTATTCATTGTTAAGCAGTACTCCTTTGTCTAAATTGACATCCATTTTACTTGTAACATTCGAATGGATTCAAGCTTTTGGCTGATAATACTGCTGTGATCATTCTTGTAAATATCTCTTGGTATATATATATATATATATATATATATATATCTTATTAGCTGTATAAATTGTAGATTTTGCAAGAACTTTTTGAAGTGTCTTCATATAGAAATGCTATTTTGTGTATTGGTTTAAACCTTGCCAAATTAGTATCTAGATTGTGTTAGAATCCTATGCCTCAAAGAATTCATAATGCAAGTAACAATGACTTTATTTCAGATTTTCTATATATTACATCATTTGTTTTCCTTTGTCTTCATGTTAGCTGTGACCTACAATAA